AAATAATCAGATTTTTTTTATTTCTGTTAAACATTGTGCTGCTGCTTGTTTAAATCTTCTGCTAAGTTGTGCTGATCTTCAGCCGGCACTATACCACAGCCTCTATTTAGGCCAAAATGCTAGCTAAAGTTAAAAACATTAACAATACGGGCTAATTACTCGACGTATACCCACAGAGCTAGACTCTATTAAATCATGTTAAAAACTAGTTTAATTGATTCTTTAAAGGATAGGCGGAGCAGATTTTCTCATTTAGATGTTTGTCAAAACGAGCTGAAATGTTTCTGAGGTCAGTTTGCTTTTTCTACCTCAAAGGTTAAAAAATAATGATTTAATTTCCGTCACTTTTTCAACATTTAAAGTTTCTGCAGGACAGTGTAACAGATTGTTCAGTTAGAGGTTGACCGATAAATCTCATCTAATTTAATCTCAGCACTAAATGTGAAATCAGAATGTGATTTTGGTGTAAATTAAAACTTAAGGCTCGTTTTCATAAAAAAAAAAAATCCAAACAAAATGTTTTCTGGTTGATCCTGAAAAGTGAGAACATTCCTGAAACTCCATCCTTTCACCGTATTTAACATTTTCTCCTCAGACTGTCTAAACTAAATTAAATTGAGAATAAATCAGTCAATCTCTCACTGTTAAAGGCCAAAAGTGCCACGATGTAATTCATAAAAACGTATGTAATAAATTATTCTATAGATCTCATCATTAAAATATACATTTTCAGTCATTTGAGACATAATTAGCATCAAAGCATTAAATACTATTTAAATTTTGTAGCAGAGGAAATATTAAAGTGTTAAATATTTACATTTTATTTTATTACCAAACTATAATGTTATTTCTAGAAATATATTAATAATTGCTATTTTTTGTTGTGTTTTATTTAGCCGATTTTAAGCTATGAATTAGTTGGATTGTGGCACTTTTGGCCCCTCGTACATCTCTGCTGATATTCTTGGTTTTCTGTGTTTCATGATGGAAACGGTAAGTTTAATGGTGGAAATGGGCAAAGAAATTTTCTCTGGAATTTCTTTCCTGCTATGAAAGCCATCCCTTCTTCCATCCCTCACGTCTGGGTCGGAGCGGGAACCATATATTGAGCTGATATATGTGCGAGGCCGGGCCCCCGAGCCTCGGCCGGGCCCCCGAGCCTCGGCCGGGCCCCCGAGCCTCGGCCGGGTTCCCGTCCCCCAGAGGAAAAGATCGCTGCATATTTTGCTCTAAAATATGAATGTTTGGTCCCAGACTGGTGCAACCGGATGTGAGGCGACGCAGAGACGTTCCTCACACATCTGTGTCGTGTCTTCAGAAAACGTTCTAAGTTTAATTATTTTTCCCATCGTTTTGACCGAAGCGTCTGTTGTTGTGTTTCCGTGGTCGTTTCCCTGTTTCTAACTCCATCCAACTCTCTGGTTAGCAGAACCGAGCGGTTTGCTCTAACCAAGACGGCCTGCAGCAGCGTTATTAGAAGGTTTCCCATGAAGACGTCGGTGCTTCTGTGTGAGGGCGTCACTGCTGTTAAATTAAAACCCTTCATGGTGAACACAGCAGGGACCGGTTTGTCGGTTCTGATCGCTCTGTGGGAACCTGTGTTTTCATGTAGCAGCAGTGATGTCAGCAGGAATAAGACTGTCCTGTTGTCCTTCCTCCATCTGCACTGATTTGTTGTGTCTTTGTGTGCAGGCTGGAGCCAGCTGGCCGCCATGCACTGCGTGATGCTGCCGGATCTCCTCGGCCTGGACAAGTACAGGCCTCCTCTGCTGGAGATGTTGGCCAGAAGATGGCAGGACCGATGTCTGGAGGTAGGCGGAGTTCTGACGAGTCATTTCCCTAAACTCCCAATTCGATTGAAGTACGCACACAGCTATTTAGTTCAGTTCTTTCTATAACAACATCTATACACAGCATCTCAGGTGATTTCACAGGGATAATTCAACGAGAACATCCAGATTCAAAGTTTTCCATCTAACGAAAACCAGCTGATTGCATCAAACTCGTCTAAAAGTTCATCATGGTGGAAGTGATCGCACACTCGTTTGGCTACTATTTTGTCAAGAATTTTAGATCAGAAAGGAAGATTAGATATAGGTCTATAATTGATCAAGTCATCTGGGTCAAGAGACGGTTTCTTAAGCAAAGGTTTAATTCCA